CGGCATGCGCCCGTCGCTGAACGGGGAGTCAGAGTGTTAACTTGCGCAATGCCTGGGTTTAGTGATTTCAGAAAAATAGCGGACGAGGAAGTGGTTTGGGCCTTCCAAGGCACCTTTTTGCAACCGTGCCGGGACGCCCTGGCTGTTATAACACATTTCTTGCAGATGTCATGCAGTAAGGGGAGGCGAAAAACATGGTTGAACGGGCACAATGCACGTTTTTGATGAATGATCAGCTCACAACCGGCCCGTGGCTTTACCGTGGATAGCATCATGGGCATGATTTCCTTGTATAGAGGCTCAGACTGTACAATGACTTGTCTTTCCGCGCTTGTGACCCCCCAAAATGGAACTCGGATCCTTAAGTTCCCTAAGGCCAAGAACCAGTTTTAGAGCCGGTGAACTCGGGAAAGTCTCTGCAGCTGACTGACTCTCTCCTGTGCCCAGCTTCGTGTTTACATTGTTTTAGGGTTCAGGGTTCTTCACATGAGTCGTTTGTGGTTCAGAACCAGAAGCACAACATTCAGATTCCACAAATCAAGGTGGTTGTATACATCCTAAATGCAGAAAGCTGAGCAAAAACAGCTGTTGTCAATTCAAAAGACATGGTTTGACCTTTGTGTCGGATGGCTGCCCGGGCGGCCCGGGCGGTCTGATCGCCAGTAAGCGCGAGCCTCAGAGCGCAGACAGTCGTGAGACAGATTCTTTGCGAATTCTTGGGAACAGCAGGAGTCGGGTCTAGTTATTGTTTCTTATCATTCAGACGCAGATGCGCTGAGCCGCCACTGTTGCATCTTCCGATGAACGAAATGTCGGCTGTTCCGGCCCCGGCCCCCGCCCAGGTCCGCCGGAGTCCAGTGCCAGAGCAGTGAAGAAGCTCGAGTCTCAGTTCCTTCGATGTCGGCGCTGCTTCCTATCAGTCGGATTCAGCTGCCTACTACAAAGAACGCAGTAGCAGAAGCAGTCGCATTGGCAGTGCAGTGACCTTCTGGAGTCTGGAGGTAGATCGTCGTGAGACAGGTTAGTTGCATCCTGCTGATGAACGAGATGCTGCGACAGTAATCGAAGTAGGTAGGCTTCCCGGCACAGGTGGAGTCCAGAACAACGGAGAAGCCTCAGTCTCAGGCTCTTCGATGTCGGCTATTTTTCCTATCATCTCAGATGCAGAAGTCCCGAAGTGTCGGATTTGAAATTTCAGGGAACATGAGCTGTGTCAAGTGTTGAGGTAGACCGTCGTGAAAGGTTAGTTGTGATGGGTGAGATGCACGCGACAGCAATCGAAGTCAGTTCGCCATGGCCACCATGTGCAAAATCAGGCCGCTCCGCGACTGCAGCCTGTAAGCCCCTAAACCCGAAAACCTAAACCTTAAGAAAGCTGTGTAGGGTAGGAATAGGGCCTAGGGCGGCTGCTAGAGCGCCGCGTAGGGAAGGTCAGTCAGGTAGGTAGGATAAGCGGCGAGGGTAGGAATAGGGCCTAGGGCGGCTGCTAGAGCGCCGCGTAGGGAAGGTCAGTCAGGTAGGTAGGATAAGCGGCTGTATCTGCGCTGCGTAGGGTGTAGGGTAGGATAGGTGACGGCCGCTTTTGAGTGCGCTGTGTAGGTTAGGGCGGCTGCTAGAGCGCCGCGTAGGGAAGGTCAGTCCAGTCAGGATAAGGCGGCTGTATCTGCGCTGCGTCGGGCGTAGGGTAGGCTAGGTGACGGCCGCTCGTGCGCTGTGTAGGTAGGCCAGGCGGCTGGTAGCGCGCCGCGTTGCTACACGTAGCAGGCTAGATAGATTGTAAGGGCGGCTGCTAGTGCGCTAGGCAGGACGGTAGGACAGGTATGTAGGTCCATGTAGGGCGGCTGTTATAGCGCCGCGTAGGCGTAGGGCGTAGGATAGATATAGGCGGCTGCTACTGCGCCGCGGCCTGAGTCATGTGGTGCAGTGGTGCATGCGGGCCTGCGGGCGTGTATTCGTGCACGGAGTGATGGTGTGGTGGGTTTTCAGGTTTCCGGTTTGGTTTCGGGCTTTGGGTTTGGGGCAGGGGGTGTTGGGGCTTACGGCTAGAGGTTGGGACGCTTGGCGGTATGTTAAAGTAGGCCTACTGTTTGAGGCTTTCTCTGAACGTGATTCCCCAGACCCAGACTGCTCTGATGGTTTCCGAGAGTTGCCTGATGCTTCCAACGGTTCCGAACCGCATGACTCCAACCTTTCACCCTTCTCCTCCAAGCCACAACCCCTCCACACCAATCCCACCCAATCCCGCCAACCTCTCTGCCATGCTGAGGCGTGGCCCTGCTGCGGGTGCTTCCACGTTGCTGCTAGATGCACCGTGACAGCACTTGGCAGCTACACGAGTCATTTATGGCTGCAGCATAGGCCCTCAACCCTAAACCCTAGACCCTATAAGCCCTAAACCCTAAACCCTAAACTCTAAACCCTATAAGCCCTAAACACCCCAAACTCCAAAGGGGTTATAAGTAGGGTAACTATAGTTATAACCATATTAGGGGACGTATAACCCCACTTATAACCACCCATGAACAAGTAGATTCGAAACCCCTAAACCCTAAACCGTTTTCGGGGGTTTAATGAAAGTCCTGAATCCTTGACCTTTCCATGAGTCTATGATTGAGACCCTAAACCCTAAACCCTAGACCCTAAACCCTAGACCCTGGACCCTAAACCCTAAACCCCTATGACCCTCGGACGGATGGGATGGTTAGATGCTTTCTCCGGATCCTGTAGGCTGGGTTAACCGTTCGCCCGTTCAGGGTGTACAGGGTTCACGAGTTGGAGAGCGGGAGGGGTGCCAGTGCCAGATCGCATCATGTCTCTGATCCTGACTTCGCAGCGGAGCCGCATGCAAGCATGAGCGACGTGCTTTGTGACCGCTGCAGTTTGCATTCACACAGGGGTTTGCTGCTTCTATCAGTTTGCCAACTCCACCGCAACAACCACATGCATTCGGCCAAAGATTAATCTTCAGAAAGTTTTTTACTTACACCAGGGCCGCTAGAGTTGCACATAGCTCTGCAGGGATGTTCGGATGGGAGCCCGGCCATTTTTACCCGCCCGGTAAGGGCGGAGACTGGAATGCTGGATATGAAGGCTGGGGCTGCGGCTGGATGACTGGCAAAGGCCAGGATGGGGCGTTTGCAGATGCTGGTTGGGTGCCTGGCAAGGGCTGTGGCTGCAAAGGCCCGGATGCTCCGTGGGGAGGTTGGCTGCCTGGCAAGGGCAAAGGCCCGGATGCGTGGGGAGATTGGCTGCCTGGCAAGGGCAAAGGCCCGGATGCTCCGTGGGGAGATGGTTGGCTGCCTGGCAAGGGCTACGACGGCAAAGGCCCGGATGCCCGTGGGACAGCTGGCAAAGGCTACGACTGCAAAGGCCCGGATGCCCGTGGGACAGCTGGCAAAGGCTGCAAAGGCCAGGAAGATGGCAAAGGCCAGGAAGAGGTTGCCAGGGGGAATACAAGCTCAACTTCGGGCCCTCGCGGCAAAGCCTTCAAGGAGCTGCGTCTTAAGATCGAAGATCTTCAGGCCAGGATTTACAGCTTTGAAATGATGCAAAGAAGCTAAGAACTAATAATGGGGCATGCCAATGTCATAAGTCATACTCGGCAGTTGGTGAAGTACGGCACCCTGATCAGGCTCGCAATGCGCAGCTCACACAGGAGAGGGATGACGCCCGAGCCGAGCTGCAGAAGGCCAATTTTCAGAAAACAAAGTTAATTGGTTAGTAGTTCGTTAGGTGTAGAATTTATGTAATATTGCTTGGGACAGCACCACCAGGCCAGAGAGCAGTGCGAGGAGGCCGAGCGCGCTCTTTGCCTGGCAACGTCTAGCATGCACGATTCTCAGCAGCAGGCGGACCAGAGGAACGAGCTCAGGAAAGTGGAGCGAGAGAAGCGCAAGGCCATTGAGAATCAGCTCCAAGAGCAGTCGGACCGGAACCGCGCGATTGCGCAAGATCTCCAGGCTTGGGCTTGGGAACCACCGAACATAATTCCCTAGTTGGCAAATAAACATTTAAAAGCCTGAAGCCCTATAATCCTGTTAGATCCTTGCTGCCAGGCTGCACATGCGAAGATCCAGAAAATTCAGGATGAGCGAGAGATGGAGCGCCACGTGCGCGACAAGTTGCGCTTCCGCCTGGAGAAGGTTCGCGGCGGCAAGAAGGACCCAGGTGCGGACTGCATCCTGCCGGACGACTGGCAAGCCGACAGAAAGGCCTAGAGTTCAGCCGGCTCTGTTTCCTTCGGTCTCTGGACGAGCTGAAAGCTGCCATGACACCCGGCAGGGAGCCCTCAAAGGTAGCTCAGGAGGAGCTGCTTTCGGCGGCAACTCTCCGCAGGTGTGTGCTCGAAACCATGCGGCTTACTGCACGCAACTGATAAAAAGCTCGTCCGCATCGTCCTGGGAAGACCTGCCGCCCTTCCAGCTTTTAAGGGTGTACCGATTCACGTAGTTAGCAAATCTCTGGTTTCCTCAAAATGAACTAATAGCCTGGGCCCAATCAGGACACTCAGAGGCTTCATGTCTGATAGGACCATGACCTGACTACTAAACCATACGTGTGCATAAAGATGGCACAGCTGGGTCATTGCCTGCAACCCTAGTCTTAGTCTTAGAGATTCCGTCTCAGGTATGGCGACTTTGGGCCTTGCTCCGCTGGCTCTGCTGCTCCAGGCAAGAACTGGACTACTTCGGGTTTCAAGGTTCCGAGCCATTGCTCTGTGTGAAGTGGAGGCCACATCGGATAAGATTCGTGGAGCATAAGCCTTAAACGAGGTTTGAAGCCCCACCCCCGCCATTGTCTTAGACACCACTCGTCTCAGGAATGGCGACTTCGGGCCTAGCACTGCTGCCGCAGGCAAGAACTAGATCACTTCCGGTTTCAGGTTTCCGAGTTATTGATTCTGTGAGGTGGGGGCCAAATCGGTTGTCGTCGAGCTGTATTTAGTTTCCCTCGCCTCCACTCCCTCTGATTCCCCTTCCCCCTGCCAAAGACAGTGTTGAGTCGCATGCCCTGCAAAGCCCTGCAAAGCTTCCAGGTGACAGAACGAAGCTATTACTGGCATTTCGTGTAGCAGTGTAGCATCGGCCTTGCGCAGGTTCCAGAACCACAAGCTAGCAGGGACGAGGCACGGAGCTGGCGCAATCTCGTGATGACCCCGGAACTGTATGTTCTTGTAGCGCAGTGCTTACACGTTCTGGTTCTGGATGCGGTTAGATCCTACACACTGCACGTCTTAACTTCAGCATACATGTTGCAGAGCCTATCAGAATCAGATCTATCAGTGCGAACGAGATTCGAAATCATTTTAGTTTTCTCTGTGTTCTTGCAGAAAGTCGGAAAGGAGGACGACAATCGCACCTCCGCAGCTGCTGCCCCACCGGCGATTCCTGAAGCACTTGAAGCTCACAGAACTGGGCGTGCGGGGCGGCCGGCTGTTTATCCGGTGGCTCGATTACTAGAGTCAGTCCTTCTGGGTCGACATCTGCGATCAACAGCGCTGCTGCCAGAGGCATCAGGGCACTGTGGGAGTGGGCGAATACTTTAAAGTAGTCTACAAAACCATGCAGGGATCACGTGACGCTTCGATGCAGGGTAAGCTATAGAGCGAGAGCTGCTGATGAGCCGATGAGCGCAGGTCATCGTCAGATCTGTTCACTTCGTGTTTGGTGCCGAGGTCGCCCAGTCACCTGTATCTAGTTTGGCGACATTGTTGGTGCATCCTTTTAACGACAAAAGGGCTCGAAACTGTGTGTGCGCGCGTGTGTGTGTGTGTGTGTGTTGCGTGGCCTGGGCTTTGGCAGCATTGGCCAAGGCATGTGAAGCATCTGCTTGAAACAAGCAAGCTTCAAATCCCGCATCCAAGCACGTTGTCAAGGAGCAGGCTGCTTCTCGATGTGTTGATTATGAACTGGCGCAAGGAACAGATTCGATCATCTGCAAGTGGCCATTTCGTGTTCCTCTCCAGCGATTCATCACCACAAGCCGGATCCGACTTTCTGCTCACGCTCGAAGATCGAATTGAGCGGGAGCATGCCGGCCTCATTGTTGATGCGACTGAGTCTGAGGTGGCATCTTGGAACTTGTCAGGCTACTTGAAGACAAGCTCCCTTCCTGTCGCAGTGGTGGGGGCTGGCAATGCCGGCGTTGCCGGAAAATTTGAAGGTCTTTTGCATTCGATCATTTGCGACCTTGGCAATGAGGCCCATGTTGCGAATCCCAGCAGTTAGACTTCACGTGTGTCAGGAGTGTGCGTCCTGCTCTGCGTGTATCATCATGTGCGCCAAACCCCACACTTCACTCAGGATTCGGATCCCTTAGCTGATCTCGGGATGTAGTTTCGGTGATTTTGCCGTGCTTGCTATGAAGGCCGAGCTGATCCAGCGGTACACACGCGATGTTGTAGGATACTGCTCGGATTATGGCGCCGAGTGGCACTTTGCTCAGGCTGGAGTTTCTGACATTTGGAACGGAAGCACGAAGTTCTCTGCCATTGACTCACTGACCCCCACAGCCCCTCACTGCTATGTGCTAAGCCCTCAACCTTAAGTCGCAACGACTGCAACATGACCTACGATCCTCGTTTTGTGAACCCAGACCCCTGGCAGGATCTCCAAGGTATATCCATGAATCGAGCTTCCTAGGAAGTACCCTTTAACTTTGGTAGTACCGGGTCCCAGATGGGTTCTATTTTCTAGACTCTCAGCCCTAAACAAAAAAGCAAACTGAACCCCAAACCTTAAAAAGGAACCTGGGACCGGGGGGTTTCTACTTTTAGCCTGAGGCCTAAACCCTGAACCGTAAAGCCGTAAAAGTTAAAACGGAGTTGGGGGTTCTACTTTCTAAATCCTCCAAGCAGGGGTTTGGGAAGAAGTCAAGATTGCCAACATTTGAGTTGCAGTCGGTGCGAGTGGCGAGTGGTTGTTTCTCTGAAGCATGCAGGTGCCGGCAATTGATCTGGATGACCTTCGTGAGGCCGGCGTGTCCAACTCTGGGGGAATGCTGAGAAAGCAAGACGTCGCGTCACATGGGCTTCTGTCTGGGTTTACTGCTGATGATGACATGGCTGCGGAACAGCTCCCTACAGAAACCACTGTAGGGCAAGTGCCAATAGCAAACGCACCTGCATCGTCGGCCAGCATTTCGCTGCTGGGGAGCATGAAGATGCCTGGCATCAAGCACATGTTTGACAACATCAGCAACTACGTTTTGGGCCGTTTGGCATGGTATCCGACCTTTGCCGATGCTCGCTTGCTTGCTTCGTTGTCCTGTTGTTTAAGGAGGCACCAGCAGCTGTTGGTTCTTGCTTGTTTTGGACGCAAACTAGGGTCTAGGGTTGGGCTTAGCAGTGGGAGTGGTAGTCTCGAGTCTCAAGAGTCCCATTTTCCAACACTCCCCAAGGTCTCTACTCCAACTTCCTCCTGAAAGACAACCGCAGGGAACCGAACGACGAAATTCTACTTCATCCTGCACTGCAGACAGCCGAGGAAAGTCACTAAACCCTAAACCTTCAAAGTCCACCAATTGGATCCGAACAGCGAAATTTCATTTCATCCTGCAGACAGCCGAGGAAAGTCTTCGAACCATGACCCGCCTGCTGCATGAGAAAGAGTACCGCCAGCGGTTGGTGGCCGCTTCTTTGCAAGGTAAGCAGAAACAGAAAACGCGCTGGGCCTCGTTAACGGAGGGGGTCAGCACTCAGACTCTGAGGACACATGTTTTTCATCGGGGCCGGCAGCGCAGTTCAAGAGAGTGATGTCTTACTATGACGGAGGATCCTACATTACCTGGAGGTGGTCTTCCGTTGTTAATGTGGTCCGTGCTCTTCTTAAAAGACGTGGCGCGCTCATGGCGGGCTTCGATAGCCTGAAGTTTGGGGGCGGTCCAGACTTGGTTTCAGATGGCTTAGGCGATGCTGAACGCAGGTCGAAATTTGTCATCGAAGCTCGATTTGTGACCGCTGTCAACACTGCCATTCGCTCCTCACTGTTTTGGGCGTACTGCGAGTTGGTCGACTGCCTAGCAGGGACGCTGGAGTCACAATCTTCGTATTGTGAAGGCTGTGAATGTCACGGTCACATGGGACAGAACAATTGGAGATCGCGGACGCGATCGATTGCACGTTCTCTGCATCGAGATGCAGGCAGGTCCAAGTTGACTCCAACACATTGCAAACCAAGCCCTGCTGGCCGCCCAAAAGCTTGGCAAACCAAGCCGTAGACCTCCGACAACAATGACTTTCAGATTTCAAACAATCCTCTAAATCACAACTGACGATTCGCAAACGGGAGCTTGAGGCTTGAATGCAAAACATCCTGTAGTTTCAGAGCACTCACGACAGTGGCCTGTGCCATAGCTGTTTTTCTGGGCTCTACAGTTGTGGGGATGTCGGTGTCAGGGCTCATGAAAGGTTGGTTTGTGTCTGTTCTTCGGGGCTTGGGGCTTGAGTGGAATTGCAGGTTCGACTGCAGAAGACCTTCAAGACATGACAACGTGCAAGCTTCGAGGGCGGCGCTCGCCCGAGTTCGCCAGCGGGGCCTTCGAAGAGTTTTGCGCGGAGTTGCAGGAGATCTCGAGCAGCAATTTACTGGTTGTTTGCACGCCTCTGGATGATCAGCAGCGCAGCATCCTGGTAAAGGACTGGCACACGGCGACGGACGCTTCATCTAGGGTCTTCTTATGTTTTCCACACCGCTGCGCTGCATTTTCTTTCTATCATTCAAACGAAGTGCCCTACATCTCAGCAGATTCGTTCTAGTGAGATTCTGGGTTGCTTCTCTTTTGTGCGAGACATTTTCTGAGGATGCGATACTGTCGGAGCTGCGGCTCAAGACGGCTCATTGGAAGTGTCTTCCTTGGCGGCTCTGTGGGTTGGCGTCGCAGGACGCAGAGTGTGCCCGCCGATGTGCCAGGGATTGCATTGCGCTCTACGAGACTTCATCAGCAAGTGGACATACCCACCCCATCACTGCTCGGTTCTTGAACCCGGAGCCTTGATTGCTCTTGAATCTGTTTGTGATCTTCTGTGAGCTGATGAAGGTTCCTTAGTTCAGTTTGCGTACTAGGGTGAGCTGTCCGAAATCCGGATTGGAGTCTGTGAGTGGAACGAGAACGGGTTATGTCGGATACTGTGCAGGAGTTCACCGGTCCGGACCCATCAGACATTGCGTTGAGACCACTTCTTGACGATTTCATTCAAGGAGAACCGCTTCGAAATTTGACCGAGCTGAGAACATGGGTTGGTGCACTCAGACTGCAAAGATGCAATGAACGGCACACAGAGGCCCGCTAGACTCAGCAGTAGCCGTCACCGCTGCAGTCTTGAATCCTGGAATAGACGCAACGTGTTTGCGTGTACACAAACTGTCGCTGCTCATACTTGTGTCAGGGGCAGCACCGAAATGTGGCTCAGCAGATGGGCCGGGCGCCAAATTCTTCAGAGCCTTTGATCAGCACGGAAGCTCGCCTCCATGCATTTCAAGACATCTTCAACTCGCCGGAGGCGGGCGTGCTTCCGTGAGAGGCCACGTGATACTGTGTTGCTAGTCTCCTAAAGAGTTTTCAGTTCAGCAGCGAGTCGGTTGGCACAGGGTTTAACGTTAGCTGCGTGATCTCATCACTTAGATCCAGCCGAATCCAGGGTTTAGGGGTTTAGGGTTTAGGGTTTAGGGTTGTTCAATGGGTTCGGGTCAAAACCTTCTGGTTTGTAACAGGGCCGGCGCGCCCCTTGCGCGACAACGTTTGTAACAAAAGTGGGGTTTTTGCGACAAGGCTGGCGCGACAAGGTCCATCGTTTGACACAAAGACGACGCGACAAGGGTTTGTAACAGAGGGGGGATGGGGGCCCGCGACAAGCCAGGCATTGAAGTCCGCAACATCTACCTACGAGCATTTCACTGACAAAAGGTGCCTAGCCGCTGAAATTGCTCACTTGGTTGGCGGGCCAAACTGTGTACCCGCAAGAAAACTCAGCCACAAAGAGTTGGTGGAATTGCTTTATCATCGAACCCATCGCTTCAAGCGCGGGAAGACAGCTGCAGAAGTCATTCCCAAGTCGGACAGCGCTGCGCAGCAGGCGAGCAAGTCCGCACTTACTGATGGCAAGGGAGTGAACAGCCTGGGGGACATGATGAGCAAACACTTCCGAGACGTCATGGACGACACCGGCTTTTACTCGTTGCCAGCATTCCTGATGAAACGTGTTCCGATTCAATCTTTGCAAGACGCACTGACGACGTCGCCAGCCATCGGACGCGAGACAGGTGTGTTGCCTATTTGCAGTGAAGAGCAAAATTTGCCTGTGGCAGACCGGGAGCAACGACTGACCGATGAGACCGGGACCTGGGGATGTACGTAGTACGCGGTGTAAGGCTTAGGGCTTAAGGTTTGGTTTTGTGTTAAGGGCCGTCCGTGAGATTTGAAACACACACAATCTGTGCTTTCGTTTGCGGAGCGTGGGGTATGTCTCCATCGCAGACACTTCATGTGATGCTGTGTCAGGGTTTCGGGCACGGGCTTATGTGTCGTTCAACTGTTCAACTGACAAAGTGTGCCATCAGGACATCAGCAGAAACTCTGCCGGCGTGGCTTCAAGTAGATCCTGAAGGAGAGATGGAAATTGGTTCGGCCCAGCGCACGCAGGGCGGAGCTTCATCTTCGTTTTCCCGCAAAGAAAATGTGATCCAGAGTCTGCAAGACACACCAGATGACAGCCTGGTGATTTTCCGGGTGGCCAACAAGCGGCCGCATCTACGCAAGAGACCCCTAGCATCAGTGGATGGCATCCTGCCGCATGACATGACCATTCGTATCTACGATGTGATATCTATGAACCCCGAAGCAGCAGAGGTCTCTGCGGTTCCCAGCAAACATCAAGATCTGCCTCTGGTGCACCTCTTCAACAAGATGAGAGATGATGTGTGTCAGGATATGTTGCTTCACATGCAACAATGGCAGATGCGAGATGCACTGCCCCTGCGATTTGCTTCGCATGTCACTGGCTTGTGCTCGGCAGCAGAAAATATGTTGCGTGAACTCCTGGAGGCCAGGGCTGTGGAGGGCACCGGCAAGACATTCGATGCATCATGCTTTTCACAGGAAGACAGCGGCATCTTGGATGTTCTTCTCCAAAAGAACTTAGTGAAGAGATGCGGCGAGCAGGACATTGTGCTGAGCAAAGACACACTGCAATGCGATGCAGTGCACCTGCATCAGCCCCTCCAGGTGAGATGCTTAGTTGTGAACCCAGAATGCACACACTATATATATATATATATATACATATTATATATACATATTATATATGTATATATACATATGTGTATCTATATATATATATATATACACATTATGTGTGTGGGAGCGTCTATGCTTCTGTATGTCAGTCTGTTAGTCCAGCCTGTCACGACAAGGTTTTTACCATCAGACCTGGAGTTCCATTCGATGCCTCTGTCATCACCAAAAACGTACGACCAACCCGTCTTGAAGTTCATCTGCGATTGGGCCAGGAAGGATGGAATCTGGTGCAACAACATGGAGCAGCTGCTAGGAAACTTCAGCCGTATGTGCCAGGCGGCTGCTAGCGTGTACCGTTTTGGGAATCAATGTTTTTGTTGTGGGTGCTGTGAGTCAGTGAGTGCTCCGAATCAGTGAAAGGCGCTCCCAAACAGTACTGTGGCAGCGGATTCTTTTACGGCCTTGCGCTGCTGAACGCTGATCGACTGTGTGCTCGTGGGTGTCAGGGGGTCCACCATGGCCGTATAGAAACCTACTATGCAACTCTTCTGTCTGCAACCTCTGAACAGATGCCGTCTGTGTTGCCCGGTCTGTCGGCCAAAAACTACAGGACACGGGCAACGTTGTGCAATCAGTGTCCACTCAAGGGTTTCTGGATAGGAAAAGGGTTGTTTGATCCCGTGGGTAGCGAGGGCCTACTAGTAAGGTCATGATGCAAGTTGCCTTGCTTTGTGCCATGCGGCAAGGATGCTGCTTTCGAAGAATGTTGGACGTCAGCATCGAGGAGCTCTCCTGGCAATTGAGCAGGAGGCAGTGCCATATAGTCTTAGCCAGTCAGTGTGAGCAGCTTGTGTCCGAGTGCCTGTGAGTCATTGAATCATTATGCCGTGCCCGTGGATGACCTGATTTTGCGCCCTATTCTGCGTGCATCTTTCAGGATGATGACACTCTGCCGGCCGAGCCGGCCGAGCCCGATCACTTTGAAGAGTTGGAGGCCTTGCTTAGCTGCTTGTGGTGGAAGGGCGGAACTAACTTTCGGAACGTGTTCGCCCCCTCGGCGGGTCTTGGGGCTTCTGTGTCTGCGTTCGGCGTGCTCATGTTTCTCAACCTGTTCTGTTCATGTGGGTCTTTCAATGAATACCACGCTAGTATGTGTGTGTGTGTGTGCACAACCACGCAGGTCGGCGAGCAGGAGGGAGTCCGTGGAGACCAACTCGAGGCGGACGCTCGTTTGTGACTGGGGAGCGCGATAAGGTGTCAGCGTTGCACAGAGCACTTTTGAGAAGGTGGAGGTGTGGTGTTGCAGCCTTGAGGGATGGACAAGGGTTTGATGGAAGGTGGGCCGTGGCGAGGTGACAGCACTGCACCAAGTGCTGCGGTGGGGCTCGGGCTTGGTGGGAAGGGGAAAGGAGGGTGGAGGCCAAGCCTTGATTTACCTTCAAAAGCTTGGGCCTCACCCTGAGCTCGAATACGTTTGGGCTCTGGATGAGTTCAGCTTTTTTTTTTTTTTAATCACGTCCTCCTGCATCTTGTGTCTATGTGAGCTTTCTCAGGCCGACGATCTTTATCATCCCAGCTTTGTTGATGAGAACAACGAGGAGGCATAATCCAGTCCGATGTAAGCTCAGCTTCAACATGTTATTGCTTCTGTGCATAGTCTCAGTTTGTTCATAGTGCGTTGTTTTGTTTCTAGCATCCAGAACACTTTGCGCCAGCCAACATGTGGGTTTTGTTGGTCGCGGCTCAGGGTTCTGGGTTCGGGTTAAGTCGGTTAAGTCTGTTGGGCGTCATGCTCAGTTTGATTGGTGAAGTTTGTGTTGTGATCCGAAATGAATCAGTCTGGTTGTTTGGTTGCTTGTTTGTAGGAAGACAACGACGAGCATCCGGCGGATCCGCGGTTGATGGTGGAGGCCGGGCTGTCCTGTCTCCTGAAGCATACGCTGGGAAAGCCGAGGTTGTGTGCAGCATCCCCGAATAACTGCCGCAAGCATGGGCTATCCTTTGTGATCCGGACGCAGAAATTCAGGCTAAACGTCGAACATCCATCACTCGGCAACAGTTGAATAATGTTCGTGCTGTAGATTTTGATGGTTTGGTTAGCTTCATCGCAGGATGTCAATGACGAGTCTCCTGACTTGGACTTGGAGGCTGGTTTGTTGTATATTATGACTGACATTTTTTTGGGGAGCAGAATGTGCAAACAGAACTCGCGCGAACGGCTGGCCATGTGTAGGCTAGACTAGACGTAGTATGTTAGATAGGTTGAAGGGCGGCTGCTAGTGCGCTGCGTAGGACTGTGTATACATAGGGTAGGACGAGTGTAGGTCGTAGGGCGGCTGTTATTGCGCCCGTAGGCGAAGGACAGGTAGGTGTAGGCTATTGCGTAGGGCGAGTGTAGGGCGGCTGTTAGTGCGCCGCATATGACAGGTAGGTATAGGCTGTTGTGCAGGGCGAGTGTAGGGCGGCTGTTAGCGCACTGCATAGGTGGTAGGCGTAGGCGTATGCGACAGGTAAGCTAGGGCAGCTAGGGTAGTGCCGTAGTGCGGCTGCTAATGCGCCGTCTCTTCAGTCGCAGTCGCGTTTCGAGGTTTGTTGGCATGGGCTCGTATGTTGATACATTAGACATCTTTCAAACTGAATCAGTGCATGCACGGTGTGCTACCTGAACTGTTGGCAAAATCGCAATCCTGCGACATCTTCGCGTGGAGTTTGAAGGTTCGGGCTTGGAGCGGTTAGGGTAGCGAGGTCATCAGATGAACGCTGAACGCTTGCGGGTTCGGGGCGGAAGTCAGCGGGATTCTGGCTGTACAGTTCATAGAGATGTGCACATCAGCCTTGCAGTTTGCTAACCCCAACCCAATTGTATGATGAAGTGACCCAAGCATGATGTGCCAGGTTGACGATGATGATGTGGTCTTCAATCTACTAGCGAGAGGTGGGGCTCCAATGGAGGGTCGTGGTGTGCCTGCCGATGCTGCAGCTGTTCGTGGTGATGATGATAGAGACACAGACACTGACAGTGCCTGCGATGCCAGCGACGATGATAGTGCAGAAGCAAGAACTGGAGTGGGCAGACATGGTCAATCAAGACGTGATGCCATTGCCCTCGTGCTACCGAAAGTGACAAAGTACCTTCGCAAGCATCATGCTGCTGCAGCAAGAGCGGCAGAGGAACTTCAGCAGGTTCAGCTAGTGCGCGAGGCCTTAAGATATTATGCCGCTCGCAAGCGGAAGTACATCGTCTGGGGTGACGAGGGTCAACCTTACAAGTCCCGCTACAATGTGGAGAGGGCAATCGTCAATCTATATTGGCAGGATGTAGTGGCAGGTCTGCCTGTGTGATGACCGGACGCAACATGCGCATCTCTGTGCGAACATCGGAAATCGATTGCTTGCATTTGTTCTCAAAGCTGTTGTCTGGACTAAATCGGGCTTCGCTAGGTATAGATAGACTTAAGACAGCTGCTATATATATATATATATGTATATATATATATGTATATATATATATATATCTATCTATCTATCTATCTATCTATCTATCTATCTATCTATCTATCCGCACATAAGAAGTGCGCCAATGCCGCTGTGCACGGACGACGATGGTCTAAGGTCACTAAAGAAAATGTAGAGTTTGCTTTTTTGTTGTTTTTAAAGACGTCCTGTGATGATAAAGTTGGTTTGTTCAGAAGATGAACTTGCGACAAGACCAGGATGAGCCAACGCTGCATCGTACCGGGTCATATGAAAACATATCATGATAGAAAGTAATATATGGTTTCAGATCAGACCATATCATATCATTTCGTATCATTGAATCATGTCAGTCATATCAAACCAGTCATATCATATCATCTCATTTCACATCATGTTATATCATTTCATTTCACATTATGCAGGTGGTATGTTGGTTAGAAACACGTCAGTCGGAAGTTGGTTGGGCTTTTGTTGGGAAAATTGGTCAGGAAGTTCGCCTCATTGGTTGGGATGTTCAGCTGCTGATTGGGATAGGCAAAGTTGGTTGAGCAATTCGCTTGGGAGTCTGGGATTTAGGATTTTCGGTGGCTGATGTGGAAAATGAGAATATGGTCGGGCAGTTGCGCTGCTTGGTTGGGAGTTGGGATTTTCAGCGGCTGATTGGAAAATCCAAGAATTGTTGGGCAGTTTTTCCTGTTTGGTCAGTTTTTTTGTGGGCGGTGCATTGAGGAAAAAGTGATCCGACCAACTAAAGAAATGCTTAAAAAAATAAGAATCACAGAAGTGTTCGCGCAGTAGAAATAAGAACTCTAGAAGTGGTTTGGTGAAATATAGTGAGCCCATAAGTGGTTGAGACCTAAATTTAAGGAAGCAACAAGTGGTTTGACAATACAAAACATAAAACAAAACCACTTCCGAGCTCCTTATTTCTCCGAGTTGGTCGGAAGTTGGTCGGATCCGACCAACTCCCGACCAACTGAGTGAAAAAAAAAAGTTGGTCGGAAGTTGGTCGGATCCGACCAACTCCCGACCAACTCCGTTCCAAAAAAAAAAGTTGGTCGGATCCGACCAACTCCCGACCAACTTAGTGAACTGTCGGAAGTTGGTCGGATCCGACTTGATCCGTCCAAATTCCGAATGACTAAGTAGAAAAAAACCTACTAATTTAAGGCCAGGCATGCCTTGTTTACCAAAAACTGTTCAGGTCGGGTAATATTTGGTTTCTTACTTATGTTATATTATTATGGATGGTTTTCCACACGCAAAGCTTACAAGTACATCAATGGCAAGTATAAAAGTATAAAACCACACAGCATTGCGTTCGTGGTGTGATAGCAAAAAAAACAGGTTAAAAACACAAAAAAAAAGAGGGTGGCCCCTGCGAAAATCAGAGAGAATTGTGTTCGTTGTGTGCCGCTCAAAAAACAATCCAAAAACAAAAAGGCGATAGTGGGCCCTGCGGAGGCTTACCCCGATGGCAAGTATAGAAACCGCAGTGAATTGTTCGGTGTCTGCGTAGCCAAAAAGCATAAACCCTAAACCCTAAACCCTACAAAAAATAAACAGAGAGAATTGTGTTCGTGGTGTGCCGCACAAAAAAACATCTTGGAAAAAAAACGCGAGAGTGGCCCCTGGTGGCCTACCCCTATGGCAAGTATAGGAACCCGGAACCGCAGAAAATTGTTCGGTGTCTGCAGAGCCAAAAAGGTACTTAAAAAAAATCCGCGAGAGTGACACTTGCAATAGCAATTGTAACAGACTGCAGAGAATCCGGGGAATTGTGTTTCTCGAAGTTTCTTGTGTGCAGAGCCAAAAAAAAACTTTACAACATCCGCGAGAGTGAGCCCCTGCGGGGCCCTGTTACCTGTTTAATGGCAAGCATATAAATCACAAAGAATTGTGTTCGTTGTGTCTAGAGCCAGAAACACTTCAAAAAATCACGAGGGTGGCCCCTACGGAGAAGCCATTAAACAAATTTTAAAAAAATCCGCGAGAGTTACCCCTGCAATAGCAATTGTAGAAGAGTGCAGAGAATCCGGAGAATTGTGTTTCTTGTGTGCAAAGCCAAAAAAAACTTTACAACATCCGCGAGAGTGACCCCTGTGGGGGCCTGCCCCAACAGCAAATATTAAAACCACAGAGAATTATGTTTCTTGTGTGCAGAGCCAACAACACATTAAAAAGCATCAGCGAGAGTGACCCCTGCGGCCCTAAACCCTAAACTCTAAACCCTAAACCCTAAAACCCTAAACCCTAAACCCTATAGACCTCAAACCCCACAGGGCCTACTCCAATGGCAAGTAAAAAGCTGCAGAGATTTGTTTGATGTGTGTAGAGTCAACAACAGCCGATTTTCATATGCTGAGCGCAGAATATATCGTAGATGGATGAGCATTGTTCAGTATATCATATAAGACAGTGGATAGGCTGGCCAGTCCGGAGTCCAGACAACACATCTGAGCTTGATTCAGCAGTGCAGTGCAGTGCAGTGTGTCTTGACTCTTGACACTCAGCTTGTGGTCTTGATCTCACTTGTGCAGGGCAAAGACTGCCTGCGCCTGTAGGGGCGGCGACCGTCTACAGTCTAGACAGCCTACAACTACAACCTAAAGCATTCATTGACGTGTGTCTGTGTGAGTGGGAGGCACATACATTGACATGAGTGGGAGGTAGATTCAGGTAGATGCAGGTCTGTGCTCGGCAGTGTGACACAGTGTGCTGATGGCGCCGAAGCGGAAGCGTGCATCGCGTGCGTCTGCTGCCGATGATGACACGAACCCTTGGGATCTCCCTCCACCGCCTGGCCAGGGCAGACTGAAGCTAACGGCGAACGAGTTTGCTGTTGCCAGGGGTCCATGTTCGGAGGAGGAGTCAGCACATTCAGCACATCTTCCTCCAACATCTTTTGCCAAGGGTTCAGCCAAGAAGGCCACCAACCAAACAGGCGACAGCCAGGCATCAGCAGCCGTGGCAACGCCAAAGAGGAAGGTGACACGTCGTGGTTTCTCGAGCTCCCGCAAGAAATCCAAGAAGTGTGTAGCAAAAGCTAAGGCGAAGGCGAAGGCAAAGGCCAAATTCAAGAATAGATCGTCCCCGAAGGCTGCGGCCAAGGCGAAGACAAGGCATGCACAAAAGGCCAAGGCCAAGGCTAAGTCTACCCCGAAGGCCTCCAAGAAGCGAGCCAAGAGCAAAGCAGCCAAAGCTTCAGAAGCAAAGACGCAAGACAGCAACAGCGAAAGCAGCAGCGACAGCAGCGACAGCAGCGACAACAGCTCCAGCGGCTCCACCAACAAAAACAGCAATCTCGCCGACAAGCCACCTGCAGCACCAGAGCCAGTTGAAGTCTTTAGCCCGGTATCCTGTTTGGTTTACGACGACAGCGAGTGCCAGGATGAGTGTATGCCCATGTCCGAGTCCAAGCTGCCTGAGTCTGCACTCGGCAAAGCCAACCAGGCCGTCTCTCTTCGAGACATGTTTTCGCATCACTTTCGATCCGTTCTACGGGTTCAAGAGCATTGGGGAGATGAGGCTATGACCAGGTTGCGTGACAACGTGGACTTCATGCGAGTGACAAGCCTGTACAGTGGCTTGGGCGGTGCCGAGCTATCGGCTTCACTGGCGCACATCGCGACCGTAGATCATTGCAAACTTCATGGTTTGGTGGTTCCGGGGGCTCCGATACCTGTCATGGCCTGTGAAGCGGACGCTAGCTGCCAAAAAACTCTAGAGCAGCACATTGTGTCCAGGCTGCCTTGTACTTGTGAGCATGCATGTTGCGTGAGTCTCTGAGTGTCTGCGTGTGCCTGTTTGTGTCTTCTTCCATGAGGTGCCACCACGCAGCATTGTAGGCAACTTGCTGGATTTTGTGAGCCAGGAGGCCGTGGCGGAGATGCAATCGTTGCTGGAGCAAGCAAAGACCAAGCCTGCTTTTGTGCAACACAAAGGGGCCTCCAAAGGGGATGCCAAGGTTTCTGGGAGAGGCCGGCCTAAAGGAGGGTCATCCCCTGAGTTCAAGGAGGCAGCTGCTCGTGAAGCTCGGTCACTCGTTCAATCCATGCTTGCAGCCATAGACAAGCATGGTGGCATCCCAGATGCTATATGGGACACAAAGCATCGCAAGGTGGGCCAATGGATTCTCGCAGGGGTTCCCCTACGTATGTGAGTTCTCATAGTTGGCATTTTCCGACAGTTGCACAGGGTTGCTGCTACCAAGTCGTATGGCCCATGTTGTTTGTAATGACGTCAGTGCCAATGCGAGAATGCCAGGTATCCCTGGTCAGCGGGAATTTGTTTTCTGATGCAGCTGTGTCTTTACTTATGGCAGGGTCGACATGCAAGGATTGGCGCCTGGTTTGCAGATATGAGTCCGAGGTTGTAGACCTGCGTGAGGTTTTAATGGTAGATTGCAACAAATCCAGCTAGAGACGTGTTTGAGCCCTGCTTGGTGATTGTTAAAACAATCGCCGGAGGTCAAGTATGGGGAAAGCCCATGGGTTCTTCGGCCCAAACGGGATAGCCTTCGTTGTAATGATAGCGGTGGTCCAGAAGATCAAGCCAATCGTGTTCTTGCATGAGAACACTCGTTCCTTTGACTTCTCAATGCTGGCCTTTCTCCTCTCTGACTCATACCAGCTGCACCACACTTTCTTGAAACCGGAAGACTTCGGCTGCCCAGCCAAACGCACGAGATCTTACAGCGCCTTGATCAGAAAAGATCATGACCTGGAGCGTGGATTGGATGAGATGTTTCGGATGACAACTTTGACACACGATCAGCTAGATTGTGGAGCCTTTTTGCTCGCTCCTGCAGAGGAGGCGTGCGGGAGTCCGCGGGAGTGCGCTTGCGCAGGGTGCAGGGTGCGTGTTTGTGCAGATGTGTGTGTGTGTGTGTGTGTGTGTGTGTTTGTCTGCACGGTGTGTGTGTGTGTGTATGTGAGAGAGAGAGAGAGAGGGAGAGAGACAGAGAGAGAGAGAGAGAGAGACAGAGAGCGAGAGACAGAGAGAGAGAGATAGAAAGAGATAGAGAGAGAGAGAGAGAGAGAGAGATTAAAAGAAGAGGGAGATAACCAGAGAGAGGGAGGGAGGAGAGAGAGCGAGAGAGACGGAGAGAATGAGTTTCATTTTGCACATGTGTTCTTCAGCAGCTTCAGCAATGCGTATGGTGCTGCATGGACAGGTGCATGAGCTGAAGACCTACATGGCCAAGAACATGTGTCGGGGTGTTCACGAAAGCTGGGAAGATCTTTTGCCCGTTTCAGCCAGAGCGCATCTGGGCAACATCAAAAGTCTAGATGAGATCAAGCAAGTGCTCCAGGGCCAAACCTGCGAGGTGGGAGCTAACTTGGACCAGGACATTGAGCATTCAACTTCCCATGTTGGAAAGCACTTGCCCGTGATATTGGCATCTACTACATACATGTGGGCTTTGCTCCGAAACAGACCCTTCACTGCGAAGGACCTTTGCTCAGTAAGCGTGTAATTTTGTGTTGGTAGCTGTTTGGCGCTGTTTGCGAAGAACAGTCCTTAGACAGACAGACAAGGAATGAAATTGCACAAGTCCAAAGTAGAGACACCAGCACGCACCCTCATCGGCTGTAGTCACCCCTTACATAAAACCCGAAAACCTTTAAGAACTTGAGGAGCTCCTCACTGCACAGGGCATCCCAGTCTACGAAAACACACTTCGATATTCAGGCTGCATCGGTACTGATGGTTCCACAATTCCGCTGATGGATCTCGGTGGGATCCAACCGAGCGCATTGCGGCGGATGTCCGGCAACACGTTCAATCTTCCATGCTCAACAACATTCATGCTCTTTGTGTTAGCAATGTTGCGTCCACTTGGTTCTTGTCAAAAGCTGCGAGCTCCCGTGCAGCTGAGCCTGGAAGGCTTTGGTTCTGATGCTGAGGGTGATGAAGATGTACATGTGGATGAAGATGTCTAACGAAGCCTCGGAGCGGGCACAGTTCTCTGATCACAATTGCTTCTCTCCGATGTTTGCCCTGTGCCTGTGCTGGCGGCGGGATGTTGACGTTGCTACATATATAAATATGTGTGTGTATGGCATGGCCAAGGCAGGGTTATACGTTATAAGGTTCACGAGTTGTTGAATCAGCCGGCGCTGGGTGGGCTGCAAGTCTGGCTATTGGGCACAGATCAGTGCAAGATCGCGCAGACGGTTGAAAAAACCTTATGTGTTGTGCTCGTGCAAGGTGTAGCCAACGAGTCGAGTTTGAGCAAATCATGCAAGTCAGAGCTTGCTGGCTGTCACTGTCACGTGTGCATGACGGTCGTGATGCACTCCAGGCTCGAAATTCGATTCACGGCTGGCATGCTTGCTAGGGTGTGATCTTGACATGCTTGAAGAAGAGCATAAGAGATTTACAGACTTTGGGAATTGTGCCGTGCCTGTTCGGCTTTTGCCGAAATCCGTGTCATTGCACATATGATATTCTCGCCGTTCCTTCTTTGTCTTCGTGAGTCAACTTGGTTTGGGCCAAGTTTGGGCTGTGTATCTTCATGTTAATGCTCGTGTTTAAGTACACAAGTTTAATGAGCTCCGTTGTGGGACCTGGGGGACAGAGTGCTAGGTAGTTGGGCCGAGACACGAACGAACCATCATGCAATCACTCTTGCCGTGGGATTGAGTGCTCGCTCAGTGGGCTATGATTGTGGGACTGAGTGCTAGTTCCAGACTTCCAGGTAGGTCCGGACATCATTCATGGCTTCACCTCCGACTCCGCCTCCGCCTGCACCGGCGAGTGAAGCGCTATGCAAACGATGCAAATGCATAGTTTGTGGTGTGACGTTTTCGACGGACTGGTCCACCACCACAACGACGTTCTTCGCTGACCACTGCCAGAAATGTTCCTTAGACCTTCGCAACATTCGTAAGGCGTGCGATGTGGACGGCGATGATGACTCCGAGCCGGAAGCAGAGGACATGCTGCGTCCAGTTTGTAATTATTGGTCATGGCGTTCGTGCGTGGTGTTATCAGGAGGGTGAAGATGGCAGCAAGATCCAGCCATCGTCGTCATCATCCAAGTCCAAGAAAGGACTTTTGTGCGTGTGGGAGATGAGCTTCTGAGTTCTGTTTGTAAACGCGATTGGTGCTTCCATTGGCAATGCTACATGATATGCAACATTAAGCAGCCATCGTCGTCAGCATTGTTGATCAGTCGAACTCGTCATCATCCAAATCCGAGCGAGGATATTGTGTGTCTCATAGATGAGCTTCTGAAGTCAGCCTGTAACAGGGCTGATGCTGCTACTTTCGTCACACCGTTACATGTCTTCTTGCTTTAAGGAGTCGATTGGCATACTTGTCGGTGTAAAAGTGGTTCCAACCTTCGCAAAGTACGAAAGCCTAGAAAAGCGATTGTGCAAGCAACGGCATGACCTGATTGTCGCGATTTTGTTGGTACCCTTGTGTTGATGCTGTAAACCCTACACCGATTTCATCCATACGATCGGGAGCTTCCACCTTCTGACGAATGTGTCAGGAGGCACGAAAGACTACCTGAAGGCGCTCGCGAAGACTGATGTGGAGGAGTATCGCAAAGTTTTTGCGAAGTTTCGTGAGGAAACGAAAGGTGTGGTGGGTCGCGGCAAGAAGAAGGGCAGCTTCAACGTGCTGCAGTACTTGGAGGGCACCGATCTTCGCAAGAGGGGCCGAGAGGTTGCCAACTTCACGGCATTTACGCAATCCCAGTACATCAAGTACTTCACCACCTCAACAGAGCTTGCGGACGATGAGCTGCTCACTGAAGCTGAAGCTCAGCTGGCTTGGTTGAGAGACAAGAAGAACCCGGAGATCGAGAAGGCCCCCGATTGCCCGGTTCAGAAGTAGTTGACATGGTGAGTCTGAAATACTTCGCACTGTGACCTTGAACTTGATGCAGGAGTCGAGGAAGCTCCTCAACCGAAAAACGGGATTGTTCGAGGACAAAGATATCATGTGGATCCCGACGACCTTGAAGAAGAAGAAAGAACAGATAGAAGATCAGTTCAAAAAGGTCAACAAGGTTGACCAGACGGACAAGGTGACTGATGCAACCGTGAAGGCTGCAAAGGCCCGCTTGACGGGGTTTTTGTCCTTCCAGCCTGACGACGAGTTCTTCGGGAGTTCAAGCATCTTCGTGGACGAGGGCCAGGATGATAGTGTGACCGTGCTTACGCCACAGCAGCTGAATGCCAAGGCCAGAGCCAACACCAAAGCCAAGGCCGGCAAGAAAAAGAAGCCGGAGGACATTTCAACTTTGCGGGTGAAGCAGGCCACCAAGCTCCTGCCACATCTGCGGCTCTTGAACGGCATGTTCATGGATGTGAAGACGAAGTGGGAGTCGTTCCGGATGCTTGCCGCAAGTCGCACTGCAAGTTGTGGCAAGTTAGCTGTTTCACGAGTTGGTGTGTGTGTGTGTGCGCGCATGTCATCGGTTGGCCCGGTCGCAAGCAAGGCAGGAGCATGAAGACTTGCTGCAGACCTACCAGCGCCTTACGAAGAAAGGTGTTGACCGGGAGAGAGCAGTCAAAGATGCAAGCGAGCTGGGCTTGGGAGTCTCGTCTGCTCTGGTGGGTGCAAAATCTTGTTCTGGGGCATCATTTTCGCGTTGTTGCATGTGTGGATTCCAGGTGAACAGGCGATGATGGTGAAGCTGATGTATTCGGTTATGCACCGGCTCGAGTTGGTGCAGCTCATGGCGTTCGGCTGTGGTGTGGAGGACCGTGCGAGCTGATTCCAATTGCCCGTGCTTATGATTTTGACATGGGCCTTGAGTCGAAAATGGAGTCTACAGTTCAGATTTCGTGATGTCCAGGGCTACGTTCTGATGCCGCAGCCGACAGCTGCGGACAATGAGCCTGATGCGGCTGAGATGGAGAAGCCTGGGCCCAAGGATGCGCAGGACGCTTCCGTGCCTGGTCCGTCCTACGTTGTTTTTAAGTCATTAGTTAGAATAGCTTATGGGTTGTTCAGAATGGGGTTTGTGTGCTGCCTACAGTGGCCATCAGAACCTTAATTCGGATCTCAGGATCTCTTTGGCGTGTTCGGGTTTTGCAGTGTGCCAGGCCAGGACGCATCGAAACCGTTCTGAGGGATCGGAACGATTTCCAAACGTTCAGGGACACTGCTGCTTGTAGTTCCGGCAGTCGTTCCGATAGTTCCTGAGATTTTTGCAATAGTTCCAAAGCCCCTGTGAGCAGTCCATAAACAAGCCACAGAGCATTCCAAGTCATTGGTCATCAGTGTGCGTGAGGAGCCCCAACTAATTCAACGATAAACCACGGAAGACACTCATCCGAGGCAGCCTTCAAGAATCTCCTGATGAAGGATGAGTTTCTGGAGACGTCAGCGTCCAAGGCCGACGTCTTCGCCTGCGTGTCCGATGCCGACTCACTCTACGCAACTTGCACCGATAAAGACGCCTTGACAAAGCGCGCAGACGAGATCTCTGACAGCTTGAAAGATATGAAATTGGTCGTTGCGGCCTTGAAGCGGTCGATGAAGCTGGGTCATCGTTGGGTAACATTTTACATTCTTGGGTACTTAAACCCAATAAGGAATAACAACGATCATTTTTAATCCTATCCCAACACTGAACTAGGAAGGATGTACAAGGAACTGGCAAGCAGTTGCAGAAGGCGAAGGACAGGTACGACCAGGAGAAGGCTCGCGCGACCTCAGGCACAACCAGCGGGACCTTGCAAGGGCGGCCGAACCTCAGCAACTTGGCCGTGCAGGACACTGACCCGCCGGTTATCCGCGGATACAAGTGACCAGGCTTCAGAGATTATCAAAGGTTAATTTCAGGATAGATGATAGCTTGTGTCTCAGCGGCTTCGCCGGTTGAAATCTTGAGAACATGTCACATAAGGCACATGCATGCCAAGCGCGAGATGCTGTTGGTGAAGAACGTTGATGAGGCCATTTCAAAGATCGACGTGGGCACCGGCTTCATCCTGCGGAGAGGTCGCAGCGTACTTCAAGCGATCGTGAAGGACGCCGGGGTCAAAGCGACGCTTGAGGCCTCCCTTGAGGAGTTCAAGAAAAAGCTCGGAGAGACCACTGTGGCAAGGTTTCAGATTCAAAGCTGAAGTTTGTGATTTTTCTCTACTCCATCTGGGTTTGTTTGTTGGTTGGTCCGATGTGACTTCAGTATACTTTAGTTGTGCATTCCTGAGAAGTAGACCTTCGATTCGGTCATCGAGTCATAGATGTTAGTCTGGAACCTAAACTCTACACCCTCGAGCTGAAGCCTTCAGTGTGACATGCGCCGCATGTGGTTCCCTAGGTCTTGATTCCGTTAGGGTTCGCGCTAGTTTAGATACGCCGTCATGATGCCGTCACTTCCAGAACTTTGGTGGTCATAGCATCGGAAGAATACCGGATTCAATTTCTTAGTCAGGTTAGATTGCCATGGGCCACTCAACCGGTCGCGGATTTAAGTGGTCATGTCTTAACCGCGGGGAACCTGGGAGGGAGGATAAACTCGATCATAGCCCACGACCATACCAAAGATAAATCTGATCACTGCTATGCACACATAGCGGATTCAAAACACAGCGGTTTCTAAACCATTGATATTCGATTCAGTGTGTTCAGTGGAAAGGAAGAACTGAGATTACGGTCAAAGGTGTCCGGTCCCCACCAAACCGCCTACAATTCGTGAGCCAATACAGTTGTTTGTCCAAGGGCGTGCATGCACGCAGAGGAGAAGCCTGCGGCAGAGGACGAGACGGGGACCAAGGTCAGGATGACGGTGGACACTATCATCCAGACCCTGAAAGTCCAGATGCCTGACAGCTGGACTGCGCAAGAGTTGGACATGGATAGCTTGAAGGCAGAGGCTTTGAAGTTGGACACCGAGGGTGAGAAGCAGCTCGCCCTCAAGGCCTTGCGCACAATGGGCACGGTGTCGTTGGTGGGCGTGCCTCAGAAAGCCACGCCATGCGGTGTGGAGAACTTCGGCCTGCCATCTTTGAAGCTGCAGGCCTGCTGTCCGATAGTGTAACTGGAGGGCAACTTAAAGCTGCCACCTGTTCTGTCCTTGTGTTTGATGCGCGGAGGTTTGGGGAATCATGCTATTCAAAAGACTGGCATCAGCCGGGTTGCGGGGAGGGCTGAGGGCGGGGACCGGAGGCTAGGGGGTGCCACCGGGATACAAGGGAGAACCCTAAACCCTAAACCTTAAAGCCTAACCCTATCATTTCAAAATTGCAAAGATAACTCTACCGCAAAACTTCCCGGAACGGAGCTGCTGAACCCTAAACCCGAAGCCTTGTGAACTTGTGGGGCCGAGCGTGTGAGACTTGCAGCACAAATTCCGCAAGGTGTCCGGGGGCAGGGTCGTGGTCATGGCGGATGTCGGCGAGCTCGCAGCGCACTACAGGACGCAGGACCTCGCAGAGCTGCGTGACTGTTTGGCATCGATGGATGCAAGCACGATGCCGGATGCCTTGAGCCTCCCGTCTCTGCAGATGGGTTACCTGCGCAGTGGTGACGTCTTGTTTACTCCCATGGGACATCTCGTTGCCGAGAAAGCTGTGAACGATCACTCGGTGTCTTTGAGGCTTGGTGCGAGGAAAAACAACCTTAAACCCAAAACCCTAAACCCTATGCAACATCCTGAAATTGAATTCACAAGGCTTCTAAGGTTCACACACTTGATTGTTTTCCATATCTTGGACCCTGAAAATCCTTGAATTGCAGGACTAATTACCTCGTTTTCAGTGACGAGACAGTCGCATCGTTCCGGCTCATCAGCTCGCAGGCGGGGCTGGGCCGGTTGATCAACTCAGAGTTGAGCACTACAGCGCTTTGAGTGATTGTTTAGCGGTGCCGTCACTACCTTGAAGCAGAAACCAGGTCAACGCCAGCAATAAACGAATCACACATAGACAAACATTGATTCGGATGGATGCGGACCCTGCAATCGCTTAGGGTTAAGCTGAGATTGAAGTATTGTTGATACCTGTGTGGAGGTGAAAACCAGACCCGATGTGGACGTCTTGCTGCGACTGCTGCCTCAGACAGATGCCTCTAAGCTTCCAGCGCGTGTGCCTTCGCAAAGGGGCGTCCTGGACCAGGCGTGTACCGTCTTTGCATTTGGAGCCTCCTGCTGTGAAACAAGGAGTACAGTAGAACCGTACGGTGATTGCTAGAGCTCCACTCTACCGAAGCTCCCCAACCTCGGTATTGCTATCCGAAGGCTTTGGAACTGGACGACGACTCTGACCGCGAGGGGCCGCCGCAGAATGAGTGGACGCCGGGGAAGGCTCCCTGCCCTTGGATGCATAACGAAACCGCCATCATCCCCGGATCCCCCCACAAATTTCATGCAACCGTGATCCTTACTTTTGGGTCCTTGTGTCTGTTTTTTTGAAGCTGCAATTTGCGATGTATTGCTGCGGATATAAAATGTGTTGCTGCGAGGAGACAGCGTCGTCTGCGCGAGCATCGGCGTCGACGGGTTGCACGCCGGTGCTGGACTGGATCCATTTCGAGTCGGACATCCCGTTGATCATTGAAGAAATTCGAAAGCATCCGCATTTCCGTTTCTACTTGGCTCATTTGGTCGAGGAGCTCGGCGAGGATGCTGAGGAGTTCGAGTTTGGTGATCCCCAAGGTGATATCCTCGCTGATGTGGAGAGCTGGGATGCTTGGTACCAGCAGAACCACGAGCGGGAGCAGTACATGACATTGCTGCCGGAGCTATTTCGGACAAGGGCCATGGATCGAAAGGACCGCCCAGACACGTTCGCGTTGAGGTAGGGGGGTCTTGGATTGAGGGTTTTAGATTGGGGCGACGAGACAGGCTGGCAAGGATGTCCCTGACCTGCCGGCGGTGCCGGCGACGGAGGCTCTCGAGCCCATGTGCTTACAGGAGCGACACGTTGGTTGGGCTTAGGGTTCGGGCGTGAGGTTTAGGGTGTCAGTTCTAGGTTTTCTTGAGGTTTTCGGTTTCAGTCAGGGACCTACGGGCTTTCGGGTTGGGATTTACTCCTTCGGGCTTCTTAAAGGCTTATTGGCAGGCTCACGAACGACGCAACAATAGTGTAGGATTCCTGTAGGATATAATATACTTGGGTTAAAATGCCGGTTTGCAAAAACGAAGCACAACTCATCCACGTCGGGATATCCTAGACACAATCTCCGAAATCTCAATGCGACATTGTAGCAGCTTTGTGGAAACACTTGAATTTCAGACTAGGTTTCAGAGGAGTGTGTTGAAATTGTCCTTTTACACGGGTCTGTTCGGGGAATCAAGCCAGAGAGGATCTCGACCAGGCAGTGGCAGCCAATGGTGGCCAGGATGACAGCAAGAAGAACCACGTCGCAGAGGCAGCTGGTGGCAACAAGAATGGCAGCGAGAAGAACCCCGCAGAGGCAGCTGATTGCGACACGGATGGCGCCGAGAAGAACCCCGCAGAGGCAGCCGATGTCAACAAGGATGGCAGCGAGAAGAACCCCGCCGCAGAAGCAGCTGATGGCAACAAGGATGGCAACAAGAACCCCACCGCAAAGGCAGCCGATGTCAACAAGGATGGCAGCGAGAAGAGCCCCATCGCAGAAGCAGCTGGTGGCAACAAGGATGGCGGCAAGAAGAACCCCGCAGAGGCAGCTGATGGCGACAAGGATGGCAGCAACAAGAACCCCACCGCAGAGGCAGCTGATGTCAACAAGGATGGCAGCAAGAAGAACCCCGCAGAGGCAGCTGGTGGCAACAAGGATGGCGGCAAGAAGAACCCCGCAGAGGCAGCTGATGGCGACAAGGATGGCAGCAAGAAGAACCCCACCGCAGAGGCAGCTGATGTCAACAAGGATGGCAGCAAGAAGAACCCCGCAGAGGCAGCTGATGACGACACGGATGGCATCGCAGAGGCAGCTGATGGCGGCAACGGCAACCAGAGCTCCGCCGCAGCAAATGCCAGTGAGATCCCCAATGACGATGATGTCGAGCCCCAAATGCCGCCCAACAAGAAGCTCCGAACAGAGTCTGAGACCAACAAGCGCAGCGTGCAGGCGCAGCACTCAATCGTTTTTGTCTGAACTCGTTGCCAACCAGGAGCCCAAACCAAACTAACCGAACCCTCAATCAGGAGTCTAAGCAATTCAAGCTATGCCAGAGTCTAAACACCCAACATCACTATGAACCATGCCCAAGGAAGTTTGTTGTAGTCAGGCTGGATCAAATTCCGCCACAGCGACCCCGTGGAAGCGTCGAAAGGACAAGGAGATGGAGAAGGAAGCGGCCCAGTGTCGCGACCTTGCGGCCATGTTTCAGAAGAACTAGGTCCAGGGGCGAGGCAGTGCTCCCAGCGTCATTTTGAGGCTAGACGTAGAGCACATTGTGAAAGAGGACAGCTGGGCTTCGTGTTTAGTGTTGTGTTAGTTGTATTTAGATTAGGTTTCGAGGAGAATCACATACGCGAAATGAGCAGAGGGGTCCCTGCTGCACTCGATTCGCTGCACGGCAGATTTGATGCAAGCTTAGTTGTATCCACCATGCGTGTGGGGTATTGTTTGATCATCGGTATTGGCACCAATGTTTCTAGATATTGCCGCAGCAGTTAGCAGCATCTCTGTCCTGTGAGTTAGAGCTTTCGCCGAGGGCGCTGTACGGGGGATCCAACACTTCATCAGGTGTATAGTCACAAAGCGTGAGTCGTGAGGGTCCGCATGCTTTGCTTTAAGGGGCCACTTCAGTTTTGCGAGCCGTGAGTCGGTTTATGGCTATGGCAGTCGCAGTCACAGCTAGCGCCTTGGGTAGTAGAACATGGGTGTAAGGTGTACGTGTGAATGTCAAAAAGGGCCGAACATGGTGCAATGGACTTGTGCAGCGCCGCGGGCGAAGCTCCACTTGATTTGAAGTTTCACTTGATTCGTGGCCATGGTGTCATGCGAATGGTTGCTTTTCCTAACGTACGTGTTGTCTATAAAGAGTCTAAATGGCCAAACTTTTGGAGTTTGGTTTCATATTATCCGTATCACTAGCAGTGGCAGCAGTGGCATCCTGGCAGCTTGTATGTTGCAGCCGCGATCTTGACCAAACGCGCTACACGGTGACGGTGAAGCTTTCAGGGGGTAGATCGAC